TTAGTCTTGAAAGCTATGGTGATTTGGGGTTCCCCCATTTTAGGAAACCCTCAAATCCAAGTCTCCTTTGTGACAGGCACTGATGGCTGCACTATAGCAAACAACGTCAGCACGGACATTTGTCTCCTCCATCATGCGCATCAGCTGACATGCATCTTGCCTGTCAGTTTCGATCAGGGAATCCCAAAAATCGAAAAGATATTCCCAAAAATCAGGATTCCCCAGTCGTAGTGGATTTCCCATAGATTTAGTTAAACATTTTAGTGCTTTACTAGTGGGGGGTTGACATGGTAGATTCCCCAGCCGTAGTGGATTTCCCATGGGAAAAAGAACGAAACATCACCTGAAAACACCTTCAATCCCAAGTTCTGAGGGACGGAAACTTTTCAAACATGTCTGCCACAATCAACCACTTGGCGTTACATCCCGATTTCACAGTACCCTCTGGTTATGTCAAAATAGCTATTGAAAATGGCCATTTATAGTGGATTTAACCATTGAAAATGGTGACTTTCCATAGTTATGTTAGTTTACCAGAGGGTAGATCCCTTTGAAATGCAATAAGCCCAATGCTGCAAACTATCCCAAATCTTCCCGTGAATGGACGGCAAAAAAAACATGCAAGGCATCCATAACTGGTGCCCTTTATCTTCTCGGGTTTACCACATTACTTGACTTACTGGTGCTAAACTGCTAAAAGTAGGGAATGGATGGGTTGCTGCGGGTTGCTGGGATGATTATTGATAGTTAGCCAGTGGATCATTCCCGAAAATTCCCTGCGTTTAGCACCAGTAAGTTGAAACATCTTGAAACCACGCAGCCAATGCTTGCTGCTCCCACACCATGAAATGCCGGCGGTATAGTCGCGCAAGACCGACTGGAAGGCGTAAGGAAGCAACCCAGCCTGCTTCAGCAAAAGTTTCCTGGCAAAATGTCAAAACTGGTTGGTGGTTGACCTACCCCTTCTGAAAAATGATGGAGTGAGTTCGCCAGTTGGGATGATGACATTCCCAACTGAATGGAAAGTCATAAAAATTCATGTTCCAAACCACCAACCAGGGTTAATCCCCATGAAATCCCAATTTTCCTATGGTTTTCCCATGGTTCCAGTCACCAACCAGCCAAAAGTCTAGGTTTCGGTATCCCTTTGGGTGTTGCTATGGGGAACTGACGTTTGGATGCGACCTGGCGGCATGGTTGAAGGGAACATTTGGCTGGTAAATCTCCCTTTATCGAAAAAAACACCAAAACATATCGAAAACATACAGAAACCAGGATGCGAATATGATCATGTTTTAACCTCGTATTTTCGAGGTTTCTGTTCGGCACCTTTTTGGGGATTGATATAAGCCAATCCACGGCCAATCAGCCAGATACCTACAAAAAAATAACAAATTCTTAGCTGTTGAACGTAGATAATCCCATTGATACCAAAAGACTATTCAGGATTAGTTTCTAAAGATCCAGTTGGTTAACCTAGAATCCAATGAAGACTCCCGTCCTCAAAATCCCTTGGAACTTCTTCCTATGGCCACGGTCTCGCTCCCCAGCCATCTGCCCATCGCAATGCGTGGAGAGCGGCATAGTTGGGCATTGCGAACCGCTGCTGCGATGCAAAGCTGCGATATGGAACAGTAAGGAACAACTACCATCTGGTTATGACTAACATAGCCATGGAAAATATACCCATTTTTAAGAGATAAATCATCTATTTCTATGGGCCATCTATACCATGGCTATGTTAAATAACCAGAGGGTATAAAAAAATGAAAACGACTCAATTTCCGGTGGAATACATTTGGTGGATTTTGGAACAATATATAGATCTATTTAATGTCTTGTGGGGTGTGAAACGCTCTTTCATTCAAACGCAGCCAAGAAAGATCCGGAGAAAGGTAGTGCGGCCTTTCTCATTAAACCCCTTACAACAATGGATGTAGCCGTCTATTTGATTGAATTCCCAATCATCATTTGCCTCTTGATTTCTTGCCCCTAAATATTGTCACCGAAACCCCGTTTCAATAACAAATCTACATGGATGAATAATTATATAGCAGCTTCCATCAGGTTTCCCCGAAATAGCCACGACTAAGTCGTGGACACTGGGGACATATAGCATCTCGGAGGGCTGTTTTTTCCGCCGGAGCCGACATTTCTTTAAGCTGATGGCTCCCATAATGTGTTGGTATCACTTTTTATGCCTCCAGTAGATTAACACTTCGACCCTGAAAACAAGTCATTTTCAGTGGAGACTCGTCTTCCGACCCCGATGAATTCTGGGGTCTATGTTAGGAGGATACCGGAGGGTATATTATATATTTATGTATATATATATATACAGTCAGTGCCAGAATTATAGAACGGAGCCAGGAGGACAAAAGTACGGTAAAATACCGTACCTTTGTCCTCCTCCGGGTTCCGATTCGGAGCGGAGTCGGGAAATTTAATTATAGAACGGGGAGGAGGACAAAGGTACGGTATTTTACCGTACTTTTGTCCTCCTGGCTCCGTTCTATAATTTCTGGCACTGACATGATATTTACTGCATATTTGTACATATACAATCTATAAAATGAAGATTTAATGAGGATTTCATGAGGATTTGATGAGGAAATGAAGATAAAATGCAGATAAAATGAAGATTTGATGAGGAAACGAGGATAAAATGAGGATAAAATGAAGATAAAATGAGGATTTGATGAGGAAATGGTGATAAAATAAAGATAAAATGAACATAAAATGAGGATTTAATCAGGATTTAATGAGGATTTGATGAGAAAATGAGGATAAATTAATTATAGAACGAAAATGGGAAATGTGAGAAAAATGGGGGAAAACAGAATTATAGAACAACAGCGCTCCGACAAGAATGAAAGAACGACGAAAAAAATTAGGAGGAAGATCAGATACATTTTTTTTTTAAACCTTCCGAGCAAAAAACAGAATTATAGAACAACAGGGTACGGTAAATAACCGTACCTTCGTCCTCCTCAACTTCCGTTCTATAATTCTGTTTTCCCCCATTTTTCTCACATTTCCCATTTTCGTTCTATAATTAATTTTTCCGTTCTATAATTAATTATAGAACGGGGCCTGGGGAAAATTAATTATAGAACGAAAATGGGAAATGTGAGAAAAATGGGGGAAAACAGAATTATAGAACAACAGCGCTCCGACAAGAATTATAGAACGACGAAAAAAATTAGGAGGAAGATCAGATACATTTTTTTTTCATACCTTCCGAGGAAAACAGAATTATAGAACAACAGGGTACGGTAAATAACCGTACCTTCGTCCTCCTCAACTTCCGTTCTATAATTCCGGCACTGACCATATATATATATGTGTGTGTGTTGGTTTAGTTTCATCACATTAACTAGTTCGACGCATCCATAGCAAACAATTGTATTAGTATGTGTTCACCAAGTTTGCTGAGAAAAACTCAGCTGTACCAACTAGAAACTCACAGTTTTCGTGGTCTTGCATCAGTTAAATTCATTTAAATTTGATACCCTCTGGTAAACTAACATAACTATGGAAAATCACCATGTTCAAATGGGAAAACTCACTATTTCGACTGGGCCATTTTAAATAGCTATGTAGGCTATGTTTGACATAACCAGAGGGTAACTGGGGGGTGGGTTACCTACGTATCAACCGGTTGGATCTCCATCACTCCACCCTCTGGGCTCTATGGCGATCTGAAGCAGTTCCTCCTCATTTTTCACCTATCCGAGTGGGAAGGGTGATGGATGGTGGGGTGAAACATGGTGAAACGGTGGAAATTGGAAGTTATGAGTATATAGAGATCTGAGATGCCATGAGACAATTTGAGACTATTGTTTGATATTTGATATGGATAATTATTAACCATTAATGTTAACCATTACAACCATGATTATCAAGATTATTATGAATACTTAAATCCAGATTATGGTTAACATTAATTAAAACCATTATTATCCAGATTATTAACCCTTTGAGATTATCATATCCTCCTTGATATGCGTTTTTTCCCAGGATTTGACCACAAAACATCTGGTGGGAGGATCATCCCAAGGAGCACATGTGTTGCAAATGTGACTGTCACCCCTGGTTTGCAGAAGTCCCCGCAGCAAGGTGATGCCTAATATACTAACAAGTGGATTAGTGAAACTTCCATACCCATTTGCAACCTGAACCGTGCCCTTCAAGTAATGTGGGAATAGAGGCTTCCGACTGTGGTTTGTTGAGACCCAGGGAGCGAGGCATGGTCATGTGCTAAAGAAATGGACATGTTCTATACAAGGTGGTGCCCCCAAGATACTTAAGTTGGTTTATAACTCCAATAATTGGGTTTATGGTAGATACACCTATACTTAATGGGGGTTACAAACCAACTTATAACTGGGGAGGGCACCACCTTGCAATATTTAGACTACATGAGCATAGTTGGCTGGGTCCAATAGAACACTAGGCTTACCTCAACTAACCCAATTCATGGCCAATCTTGGATCCCCTGCCAAAAATTAGATTCTTAGCTGGTTAGTAGATATTCCCATACCAAAAGACTAAAGATTAGTTTGTACGCATCCAGTTGGTTAATCTAGGTTTAGTGAACTTACCACCTATGGACAATGTTTTGGGTTTGATTTGGAAAATCTTTGCTACCCAAGAAACTCGACCGGTCGAATTACTACAAACTGGCGCCCCCAAACGATAGCTATGAACATATCTAGTTATCTATGGTTTATGGTAGGTAAAGTAGATATGATATATCTATAGTTAAATGTTGTCTAAACATGTCTAAACCAACTTTTAACTTGAAAGATCCACTTTGTCACAGAATCGTTACCTCCATGTGCAGCACAAGATTAGGCCTAAAACATACTGAGACCTTTTCCTCAACAGCCTTGTAGCCTTTGTTTCTCCAACAAAAACAGTTCATTTTTTCTTTGGGGGAATGAAGACGTACCATCTGCATCCATCTCCCGTTTCCCGAAATACGCGAAACGCGCCATTTTTGAATCGCTGGTCGAGCCGGAACTCACTTGCTCTCCTGCCGTGATCATAGCCATAGTCAAATTACGATATGGGGCTGTTGTTCATCCACTTGTCAAGTTACGGAATCCGGATGAATATCCCCCAATGATGTAGGCAATTTAGGAAATTTATTAAAATATCCTTTATAAATATATACCCTCTGGTTTTTTAACATAGCCATGGGAAATGGCCCATTTATAGATGGCTTACCTATTAAAAATATTAAGAAAAGGTGATTTTCCATGGCCATGCTAAATAACCAGATAGTAGGTAATATGGGGAATCCATATGATATACGAACTTAATGGATTGATGACTATCCTCCAGTATGGGTGTACAGTCCAATCCTAATTCGAGGATGCCACATCTTGGCGTCGAAGAGATCGCCCGGCTTATTGGGGAGGTACCTTTTAAAAGGGGGACTGTCCAGAAATTTGGATGAGCATATCCATAACATGGCTATGAATAAGTGGATGGCATAACAGCAGTGGATACTTTTTGGGATATGGCATAACCTTGACAATCTTGGAATCATTTTGAAACCTTTAGGGTGGTAGATGCCCCTGATATCCCTAATCCAGATTCTACAGGAAAATGTCACAAAAATGAATTTTTACCCATCGGATACTGAGGGATTGTACCTATATTACCCGAGTAGGATTCCTTGGGATTTCCTTGAATAAATCTTCAAGGGTACATATGATTAGCACTAGAAAATGAAACAGAGATAGGGTTGACGTTCCGTGACTTACCTACTTACCTTAGGTCATCAGCAACAAAACAGCAACAGAAAACGCCTATTTCAGATATCCCGCAATATTTGGAGCGGAATATACAAACTATGCAAAATATACTTAAAACTATGCAAACTATACTGCCAAATCGAGTTTGACCCAAATGAAGCTGGGTAAACACATCCAAACGTTGCGGTTGAAGATCCACTCTGACGATCTTGAGGGCTGGTCAAGGCCAGCTGGATTCGCATCTCTGGTAAGGAACAACCCAGAATTCCCTTGGGAAAAAAACCTGCGATGAATCTGAAGTAATCCAGTTCTTTGTGGAATATCCTCAAGTGTCCGTATATCAACATCAATAAATAGATATGTACATATACATACATATATATATATGCTGCATATATATATATATGCAGTTACATATATATATATATATCTATGTATATGCAGCTACATAATTATATATACACATACATATATATATGTATATATATGTCGGTTATCTTAACGGGTTCATGGCCAAACGTTTGAGCTGCTTCGTAGATATCCACATTTATCCAAGATTGACGTAAGCGGTTCATCCAAGATACTCGGCGGTTCATCCCAATTTTAGCTGGCTATAACCCTACAATGTGGGGCCCCCTAGTTATAAGTTGGTTTATAGCCCCATCTAACTATGGTTATAAGTACCATAAACCCTAGTGAAATTGTAGTTATAAACCAACTGAACGCTATCTTGTGGGCCCAACATTGTAGCTATGAGTAGTGCAAGTAGGCTTAGTCCAGTACTGGAAAAAACTAAGCAACTGGGATGGCCAAAAAGCTTTTCCTTTTCTTAAGGATCCAAAAAATCATAACATGTTCCCAACAAAGATTCCCCAGCCGCAGTAGGTTTCCCAGAAGGAAAATCAAAGATCATTGACTCAGCAACTCCAAGATGAGACCATTGTTGATAATCAACTTAATATAGGTTGATGAACAAGTAATGGACCCATAGTTTTTGAATATCTCATCAAACTTCACTTAAACTTAATCATCATATGAAGTCACAATCCCATGAACATTCCATTATTATCCCATAACTACAAAAAGATAATACCCCATTGCAAAATGAGATCCCCCAGTTATAAGTTGGTTTATAGACACGATTAACTATAGTTACATTGTAATCTGGGCAACTATGTTTTTTCTTGGATATAACTATAGTGAACGAGGCTAATAAAGCAACTTATAGCTGGGGGGGCTCACTTATAATATAACATATGTATATATGTCTATATATTTAAATACCATCAATGGTTGATGGTATATCACTTGATAGTGGTATATAACATTCCGTTGACATTTGGAATGTTAAAAAAAAACTTTGGATTCATACCATGTGCATCATTCGTAAGTGGTTTATAATTCATATAGTCGATATAATATAATCCATATATATATACATACATAGATACATATATTTACGTATAACCCACATATATATATATATAATTCATATAATCCACACATATATATATATAATTATATATATTTACGTATAATCCATATATATATATAATCCAAATAAGCCCATTAATCCAAGTGGGCATATTCCATTAAACTAACCGGTGTTTTTCACCAATTTACTAAGCGGGGCCAACAACCCCAAGAAGGCATGTTGCGTAAATGTTACAGTGGTATGTATATATAGTTATATATAATATATTCAATGGAATAGTATATATCAATATATCCCGTCCAATGGATATTCAATGGAAGTACCATCACAATACACACACATATATATACCTATCTATATGTATTTATATCTGGTTGGTGGTTTCAACCCCTCTGAAAAATATGAGTCAGTTGGGAGTATTATTCCCTATGGAAAAAATGTTCCAAAACCAACCATATATATATACAATGTGAGGCCCCCAAGATAGCTAAGTTGGTTTACAAGTCCGATAATTATGATTTATGGTATTTATAACTATAGTTACTGGGGCGAATCTAAACCAACAAACATCACGTTTGGGGGCCCCACATTGTATATATGCCATCAATGTATCAATGGTATTGCCCACTTCTGATTAGGTCAATGGGAATTTCAGGATCCTAAAATGGAGGTACGTTAGTACCATATTTCTGGCCATGTTTTGCTGGGATATTCCCTCAAACATAGGCTTCAAAAATAGGCCCAACATATATGGAATCGGTACCTCCAATTGGTTCTCCAATCAATTGGTTCCTGAAATAGCAATTGATCCAATTAAAATGGGTGATTTATAATAATTTAGCCAGGATACATATCTATAATTGGTTTATAAGTGAAATATAAATGGCCATTGATTAGGGTTGAACCCCCAGGACATCCCCTCCTCAGATTGCCGAATGACGTCGACCTGAGCCGTTTGAACCTGGCAACGGCGGTTTTACGGGGCCAAGGGAAGATCTCCAGGAAACCGTGGCAACCAGTGGCCTTATAAACATAATTATATGGATTATATTAAATATATATATATATATATATTTATAAACATATAAATAATATATTTATATATATATATATTTATATGGATCTCCACTATATATATAATATTATAAACCAACTCATAATCCACTATATATATATATAGACATATTATAGCCATATTATAGCCATTAGTTACTGTAAGCCACTGGTTTGTAGCAATCAATGGGAATTTCAGGATCCAATACATGGAGGTACGTAAACGTACCATATTTTTTGACATATTTTGTGGTGATATTCCCTGAAACATAGGCCATATGTAGGCTTTATATATGGTAGGGACCTCCAATTTAGGTACCTGAAATGGCCCTTGATGAATTATTGGCTGGCAATGGGAAATCCTCTATAAATGAAGGTTGATAAATGGGAATATCAATCAAAATCATCTATACATGGTGGATAATCAAAGCCGAAGTGGAATAATTCACTAACCCAAAGTCAGAACTCTTCAGATACGGCCAGCGATCATGGGATGATTCCCCGAAGCACTGGATTCGCATTCAATACCCGTGACGCCATGAGGTGAGGTCATGATCAAATTCATCCAGGGCTGTCAATGTCTTTTAGCCCACATCCAGGGCTATTCTGCAGAATTTTGTCTCAACTACTTCTAGCTTGAGGGGAACCGAGGCAGCAAACACACCCGCAGCTTTCCCCAAAATCACAAGCATTTGAAACCAAAAAAGCGTAGCTAGGGAGCTTCTGGACAATGTAAAATGCGTGGGAGCCAATGACAATGAATGTCACATGGCAGATCTTAAATCCCTTCATCAAATCTGGTTGGTGGTTGACCTACCCCTCTGAAAAATATGAGTTCGTCAGTTGGGATGATGACATTCCCAACTGAATGGAAAGTCATAAAATTCCATGGTTCCAAACCACCAACCAGGGTTAATCCCCATGAAATCCCCATTTTCCTATGGTTTTCCCATGTTCCAAACCACCAACCAGAAATGATCTTTTTTAGCAGGATAGTCCACGGCTCCCTTGATCTCACACAGCTCCGCACGGCTCAAAACCCCGCAATGCTTGTCCTTTCATACTAGTTGGCCAATAGGATTTCGCACGGATGGTGATCATCCCAAATATATTGGATACTAAAACATACTAAAACCCTTTATAATCATCAATACCAACTCTGGTTTAGCATCCACTGCTCACACCGATGTTGTGAAACAAACAAGCCCAAAACCAAAAGGAGTTGCAGGTGGACTTGCTGATGGCTGAGAATCGGGCACATCATGTTCTTGGCTTCCCCTGTGGGGTGTCACTGATACATGGGTAACCTTGGCTGCCCTTATGACATGTAGATTTTAGAGAAAAACAAGTGCCAAAGCTTCATCGGTGAAACTCCGGAAAAGGGTTTGTTTACCCTTAACCTACCCTCTGGTAAACTAATGGTAAACTAATATAACTATGGAAAAGCACCATTTTTAATGGGTAAATCAGCTATGTCTATGGCAAATTTCAAAAGCAAACTGTTAGTTTACCAGAGGTTGGTATTCCCCACTTCCCTATGAATTAAGCAAACATGCCTGATTTAATCCCTTCCACCTAACAAAAATATTTTACTTCGAGTGATCGGCACCGTGACATTATTTTTTCATAGTTTCGGGCATCTCTTTTGAAAGTATATATGGTATACATTTCCTGACATTCTATCCTGGCATTCTGACATTCTATTCTGACATTCTCTTCTGGCATCATATCTGACATCTATTCTATTCTGACATCCTATCTGGCATCCTTTCTGGCATCTACTCTGGCATTCTCTCCGACATGGGCGCTGCCCGACCTCAACCGCGAGCGCCAGATCTCAGTGGGGAGTGCCCGTTGAGATCTGGAGCTCGCAGGACGAGGAGGAGAAGGAAGCAACTCCGATAAAATCTATAAACAAGGTGGTGCCCCCTAGATAGCTAAGTTGGTTTATAACTCCAATAACTATGGTTTATAGGTGATATATCTATAGTTAATGGGGTTTATAAACCAATTTATAACTAGGGGGGCACCACCTTGCACCTGGCAGGTGAGGAAATCCGTTTCTATATTTAATGTCCCCAAATGCATTGGTATTCCAGGTGGGCTGGATTTTCCCGTGAAGTGCCGAGTGACAACGGTTGCCAGCCCCAGGCAGGAAACCAGGATCGTTAAGGTGAATACCTCAAATGATGGGTCACCTCAAATGATGGGTCAAAACCCGAGAACTACCCCAGTTTACATCAAAATATAGCTGGAAAATGGGGGTTCACCACAAAATCTATGGTATCTCAAATATTTCATAGGTTCTCATCCACAAAAAAAGTTTGTGGAGATTATTGTGAGGGTCTCTCTAGAGAGACACACACACACGTCAGTTTTGTTCCCTAAGTGTCGATTTTTTTATTGTCTTCTTTCTTATTTTTGAGGATTTTTTTGGTGGGTCCTATATGGCTGTTGCAATCAATACTGAAAAAAGCGGAAGACAAACGGCGAAAATCTCTTCCGCCTAATCCTACACCCCCAGAAGCGACGGAGGAGTAGGGGATTTACACTTACACACCAGTATCTCAATTGGGACCATACAATGGGTGCGTTTACTATTGGGAGGATAGGATTAATCATGATTAAGTCTTAGATACTCTGCATTTTTCTCTAGTTGGTTAGCATACAAGGTGGTGCCCCCCAAACGTAATAAATTGGTTTATAAACCCCATGAATACTATAGATATATCACCTATAAACCATAGTTATTGGAGTTATGTTCACCAACTGAACGCTATCGTACGGGGGCACCACCTTGTAGCAAGAACAAAAACTAGAAACGCGTTTCCAGGATGTGATCGATGAAAAAAATCCCCAAGAATTTCCAGGTTTCCAACTTTTCTATCTATTCTGGGTTGCCAAAAACCTGGTTGGTGGTTGGTATACCTACCCCTCTGAAAAATGATAGAGTCAGTTGGGATGATCATTCCCAACTGTTTCTGGAAAGTCATAAAATTCCATGGTTCCAAACCACCAGCCAGATAGGGCTTATAGGGGATGATATAACTATAGTTAGATGGGATTATAAATTATAATAAACCAACTTATAATCCAACTTTGCTTAACTATAGCCAGATACTATATGCTCTTGCTAATGGTCGCCATCTGTCAACCTGCTCCTGATGCCTGCATGATATGTTCGATGTGTTGGGGTATGCTTATGGTCCTGCAGGCTCGAAGGGCAAGGGGGCAATCCCCAGTCACCCTAGGATTTACCATTTGAAACTTTTCAGCACACCTTTCTGTTTCAGTTGCATCCGAAAAATGACCGAGCAACTCTAAGATTCTAAAGAACTTGGGTCTAAACTAGTCTAAATTATGGGCAATTTCACGGCACACATCCAATTTATGGGCAATTTCAATAGGCATTTGATGACAGAAACATCCTCAACCAGTGGATTTCGCATGATTTCGGGTTTCCATTCCGTGTTCCGTTGGCCGCGGTCGCCAGGAAACGCCGAGGTATCCCAAGTTCGGCGTGTCCAAGAAGTAGCCAACCACCCTGGAACCGCAGATGGCGGTTCACGCGGTTGGTAGCGTGGTTGGCTGCGGGCAGGGCTTAAAGGGTATGGTTGCCCATTTCTTTCAAGTTTAAAGACTGGTTGGTGGTTTTAACCATCTTGAAAAATATGAAAGTCAATGGGTCAAGGGGAAGGATTATCCCATATATGAAATGGAAATTAAAATATGTTTGAAACCACCAACCAGAAGAGGTAATGTGGGTAAAACAATAATATGCCATCCTCCAACCGCCATAAATAGATCATATAAACCATTCCCAAATGGCTGGTTTGTTATTGTTGTACCCACATCGATGGAATATCCCCACATCATTGACAAAACCAAATGCCATAAACCCCATTAGATATTTATTGGGTATACCCTTACTTGGGATTATTAAAAAAACACGAAACTGTTGGTCAATGGGAAGGTTTGTTATTAGATTTACCACATTAGTGGGTTATAATCTGATCGAATTGGACTATAATAATAAGGGGATTACGCAATCATTATATAGGCATTTTTCTCCTACTAAACAACTGTGACTCTAGAGGATGTTTAACTAATATGAACGGGGAACGGATTATTGGAATCAAAATCCAAAGCAGAAATAAACATCAGAATCCAATGGTTCTGATTTCTCAAATCCCAATCATTTCTGTTGTGTGATAGCACTAAAAAAACAAGAATAATCTTGACCATCGTCATCGTGGTTGTCATCGTCATCATTACGGGCATCACAATTATCTTCAAAGAAATGCACATCATGATCGTGACAGCTATCCCTGATAATCGGAATCATGATCGTACTAACCATGAACATAATTACAACGTATTACAACCATGATAATAATGACATGTACAAAAAAGGCCTCCTAGACAGGTAAGTTGGTTTATAGACCCAGCCACCTGCGAATATCTCCGCCATATATCCATGAAGATCATGACACCCCAGTTATAAGTTGGTTTATAAACCCCATTAACTATATAGTTATAAGTACCATAAACCATAGTGAAATTGGAGTTATAAACCAACTTAGCTATCTTGGGGGCCTCACATTGTAAGAATAATCGCCATCGTCGCAACTGGAGGAAGCCGTAGGACCGGAAAGTCGCTTCACCCACAGCGGTACTTTGGATTTTCACGGCACAGACATTGGGCCTCCTAAACATGACACAAATTTATACAAGTTGAACCTTAGGTGCCCTGGCAAAAAAGAAATTATCACATATTATGACTAGGGCTAGGGTACCAAGATATCCCCTAGATGCTCCCACATGTCTAAATCCCCCAGAAAAAACCCTGTTTCGAAGGGGGATGTTTCGAAGGGGAGGGGATGAATGTTCAAAACGCCCACATTTATCTGGCTGAATGATATTTCGCTAGCCACAAAATAGCTGAAATCAAGCCTATGGGGATGATTCCCCCCAATTCCCATTCCAATGACATCACCGTGAGATCATGATCAAATTCATCCAGATTTATAGGGAAAACCAACATATTTTACGCCACCTTTGTCCCTTCACGTGGTCTTCCACATTTTCAGATGTAACATTCCCTTGGTTCTGGCTTGATCTCCTTCAGTATTTCACCATGTTCACCCGGAGAGCCATCATCAAATGTACCATGGTCAAAGCATGCATTTGCAGTAATCTAACATATGGGAGTTTCATGGAGTTTCCATAAATGAAGGTACCCCAAAAGCTGGATGATTTATAATGGAAAATACGATTAAAATGTATGATTTAGGGGTACCACCATTTCCGGAAACCTCTATATGGAACATTACATATTATTATAGGTAAAGGATCTATAAAATGGGCCATGGTTTCCATAGCTATGTAAGTTTACCAAAGTTTTATATGATTTATTGCCATCAATCCCTTTTTGGGGGAAATCAGGAATCTGCACATAATAGCTTAATCTAAATCCCTATGAAAACTAACCTATGATGGCCATCCCCCCAGGAAACTCACCAAAAAGCTCTGCAGAGCATGGCACAGTTCTCAGTCTCTGAGTCGCCAGTCAAAAAAGTCGAGTTCTGTTAGCTGCTGAAATGCTGAAAGTAGATATTCCTACAATGTGCTGCCCCGCAGTGATGTTTGTTGGTTTATAAACCCCATTAACTATAGTTATTTGCGTGCCATAAACCATAATGAAATTGTAGTTATAAACCAACTTACAGTAGCTATCTTGGGGGCCTCACATTGTAGTGAAATTGCAAAATTGAAGGATTGAACTGCCAAACGCAGTTGGTGAACGTAGGAATCACTGCTGCCCGAGGTGCAAATTGCTCACAGATCCGCTCACAGCGGCGGCTGTATGCATCAACCCGCCCTTGGTCCGCTAGGGTTCGTTGGTTTCGTTGGGGTCGTCGGGGTCGTTGTCCGGAAGGTTTCTGTTGGCTGCATTGCACAAGAACAATGTTTTTTTGGGGATAGTTTAGCATTTTCATCATTCCAGTTCCAGTTATTCCATGTTCATTGGCCAAGTGTTTGGGGCATCCTTTAATATTCCATGATCATCCTTTTTTTAAACGTTCATATTTTAGAAAGGCCAAGGTTGAAGCGACCATCCTGTATATATAATTATCCCATATCCTATTGATCAGTCACTTTTTTTAACCTAAGTCATAATCCCACTCATATTCCATTATCCCATTCCTCCATATTCCTCCATTATCCCATTTGAGCTGTGTTTTTTTTTGTTGTCTGGGCCCTTATACTCCTGTGCTGCCTACGCCGCTGTCTACGCAATGCCTACGCGGCCACAGTGGGAGCCTACGCGGCTCATCCCTTTGAAGGTGTGCCTACGCAGGCCCAACGCCCGTGTAAAGCGACGCCTCAATGTACGTTTTTGCCTATGCCGTCACACTTCCGTTTGCTTTTGGAAGGTTGGAAACGGAACTTTTGCCTACGCAACCACAGTCCCATTCACATTTTTGCCAAGTGGGGTGCCTTACGGCACCCTGCACTCCCTGCAGCAGCACGAGCGCCCAGGCTCCAAAGCGCCCATAGACATCTTGCAGCCACACCCATGTGCAGCAGCCGCACCAGCAACCAGGTCCCAAAGCGCACACTAAACATCTGGTGGATAAATCATGATAAATCACTGAAGACTCAGCTAGTAACTTTTGACTATGCTGGAGTCAAGCCAAGCGACGTGTTCGACTGTCGCTAGCTTGGTGAAGGGCAGTTCTGGGCGGTTCAATGTGTCGAATATGGACTGGTGCGGACGTGGGCTGGTGGTCAGTCCGGGCACCCGAGCCTATGCGGTGCCTACGCGAAGCCTACGCCTGTTCCAGGGGTCTCCTGGCAGGAATCTGGTGAAACATTCCTCTTAAGCAAGGCTAATATGGCCCATCTAGCAACAAGCAGGTGGAAAGCGAAGAACATCAAGACGGTTTAAGCTGCTCCGCTGCCTTTGTATAGCTGCTCTGCCGGGCAAGTTCCACGGTTTGTTCGTATAGACAGCTATCCATGAATGAACCCGGTGCCTTTGAACTTTTTGTGGATAACATTGAATCAATTTTAAAGCGTGAGATTGCAACGCCGATCATGTACGAGCATTTGAAATACAATGAAATGTTGCCTACGCGAACCAGAAGATATTTGGAACCTTGAAAATGCCTACGCCAATCCTACGCAATCCTTACGCCAGCCAGGTAAAACCACACCAAAAGCAACATCCAGTTTAACCTCTATATAAACCCTTTTATATTAAAAAAAAACGTAGCTCATTTATCCATTATAGATGGCCAATCTTAGATACCCTGGTGAACGTAGAGAATCCGATTACTTTGTGCCCATCCAGTTGGTTAACCTAGGTACTATCCCCAAATCCCCTGTCATCCCAATGTTATCCCTATTTTGCTTGGCAAGATGTGCATCTTTCTGCATCTTGTTGTTCAGATTCTTGCTTTTTTCGGTTCACCCCCGGAGCAAGCGTCCACTCTGGCGGAATTGGCGCTGCCACCGCAGTCCACCACCAGAGCACTCTGGCCTTAAAAAAAGCCATGGGAAAACCATGGGAAAATGATGCCAGGAGCTTTCCTAAGTCATGGGTACCCCAGTCGTCATCCAGTCGTCAGACCATTTCAGTATTGAATCCCGAGATTTTTTAGGGATCCATTTGAGATCAAACCTCCATCTGAAATCAACCATGCCTAGATGATTTCGGATGCTTGAATTTAGTGAATTTCATAATGTAAATAACAGAAAAAAGCCATCAAAAGATGGATTTAACTAACAAAAATCCATGGGATTTAAGATGATTTAATGGGGATACATTGAATCAAGGGGGATCGTGATATAATTAGCCTCCCGGTTTCACCAAACATGGCTGGAAATTCACAGCTCAGCTGGGTACATCTGGGTACATCAATCGGAAAATTTTGGAAATGGAGTTTCCCGGAAAAGCCACGTTTGATTCAATGGATTGGTTTAAGGGAGAATTTACAGGAAAACACCATATTTGATGGGAAAATCCATGGTTTCCTGTAGATTTTCCCTTAAACCAATCCATTGATTGATGACACCAGCGGGTCAACAACGAAAAATCAGGATCTAAATCTATTTTTTTAAAGCTGATTTATAGCTGCAAGTCTCGAATGTATGGTGGATTAAATCTGGAAGGTTCAAGAAAGTATAGAAAGTATGTTGTTGGCTGGCAGGCGCCTCCACAACAATATCGAGAAACATAATATAGGAGCCCCTACAACGACCGAACATTTTTCAAAGATGTTCTATATCTCATAGATGATACTTTCCCAATCATGTCCTGATATTTCCAGATTTCCAACTTGTCTATCTATTAATCTATCAATGCCTGGGGGTTGCAATAAACTATCCAACATTGTCAACCTTAGATGCCGGCGAAAAAAAATTATTCGCTTCATTACCAGGTAAACAGATACTACGATTGAAATCGCAAAAGATGAAAGGATTACACTTCTCATCCAGTTGGTTAGCCCAGTACAGCAGGTTGTAACTTGATTTTTCCCACTGATGTTCCTTTTTTTAACCATAGCTGATGATACTACAATGGATTATCTGGTTGGTGGTTTCAACCATCTTGAAAAGTATGAGTTCGTCAATGGGAAGGATTAACCCATATATGAAATGGAAAATAAACAAAAAAATGTCATTAACCACATATCTGATTGGTGGTTGACCTACCCCTTCTGAAAAATATGAGTTCGTCAATTGGGCTGATTATTCCCAATAATTATATGGAACATAAAAAATCATGTTCCAAACCACCAACCAGCAAGTGTATCAACTATAAACCATAGTTATTGGAGTTATAAACCAACTTAGCTATCTAGGGGGCACCACCTTGCATAGTTACTAGTTATGTTAGTTTACCAGTTGATTTTCGTTGATTTCCCATTTCGACCCAAGAATTCCCCATTTCTTTCGCCATTTCGGAATCGCACCTGACACCTTCGCGCACAAGGCCCTCAGAGGCACCGACGATCTACCATGGAGGGCCTTGTGTCCCATAAATATAGCTGTAAGCTATACCAAGCTGGCTTGCGATTTTGGTTTATGAGGGATATTCATGGTTTATGAAAGATATATTGACCGAACTAATATATGGTTTATGAGAGATATTAATGGTTTATGAAAGATATATTGACCGAACTAATATATGGTTTATGAGAGATATTAATGGTTTATGGTAGATATATTGACCGAACTAATATATGGTCTATGAGAGGTTTATGCTAAGCTGGTTTGCAACTAGCTTGATTTTGGTTTATCGAACTAGATAATAGAATTAACACAAACCAACTTATAACTAGGGGGTAGCACATTGTAACAATGTTTGCTTGTTTTATGTCAGATAGCCATTTTTGGCAACTTGGTATAGCTAGTTCGATATCTCCGATATCTCCATACATAGAAAATGTTACTGCTAGCTCCCCGAAACGCTCCCCATTTCATGGCCACTGCTGCCAGCACTAAACTACCCAACTCACCAGTTGATTTCTGTCTATTTTTGATGCTGTAGTAACTGTAGTAGCTACTTCACCTGCATATTTTCTTGCAACGATAATAAAATTCCGACCCACCAAAAAGGTTCCCTTTTTTTTTGACACGTTAACCAAACGGAAATCACGAGTTCTGTTTCCTGCAGCCCCAAAGCCCACAGCCACACCGTCATCACAGGCACACAATCACTATCATCACCAGCAGCATTGCAAGGGTGGGCGAAACTAAGCTGTAAGTCCTTGGTGGCAAGGTGGCAATTCTAAGCTGGCTTGACTGCTACGGTGGCTTGATGTATTGAGGGCAATCTCCGGCAATGACTAACGCTTTGCGAACTGAAAACTCACCATTTTAAAGTTTGGCAAATCATATTTATCATCTATAAATGGGCCGTTTTCCATAGCTTTGTTGAAAAACCGGAGAGTATTCATCAAAAGGCTGAAAAGCCGAAGTGTGTGCCACATCACCTGTCAAGCATCTTTTTCCCCGCTAAAAATTGCCATATAACATGGCCAATCTTAGATACCCTACAAAAAATAAAATTCTTAGCTGGTGAACGTAGAGAATTCGACCGATACCAAAAGACTATTCAGGATTAGTTTGTACCCATCCAGCTGGTTAACCTAGATATATAGCCATGAAATTGGGCTCAGCCTACCCAAAATTGACCGACCTCACAGACGACTGGTGACATACCTAGCCTTTGATATCTCAGCAATCGGAAACTCGATGAGTTCACCGCTGCCAAGTTCGATCGGTCTAGACTTTGAATATCTTACAACCGGTTGTGCCCCCAATCCTGAGTGAAATGGGTGAACGTAAACTACCTTCAACTTATTTTTTTTGTTGGTAGATATCTTTAGTTTGGTGGGTGAATATGACTCAACAAACATAGCAGGTGGTAGCAAGTGGGCACTACCTTGTCATGAAAAAAAACATCCTGGAGGATAATGTCGACCCCGGATCTGTTAAACCCTGGTTGAATAATTTGGCTGGGGTCCCTTACAAAAATCATGTGCTAATATGTGCTACCATCTGGTTATTTAACATAGCCATGGGAAAATCACCATTTGTAATAGGTAAACCATCTATAAATGGGCAATTTTCCATGGCTATGTTAAATAACCAAAGGGTATTCCACAATTTGGGTTATAAGATTCAATATTCTATCTAGTATAACCTATATAATGCAATTGTGAAGGTTATAATTTGGAGGTTGTTTCTTGTACATAAAATTATAACCTCCAGAATTTTTCACAGACAGTCGTTGACAGTAATCCACAGTTGACACTTGGAGGGCCATCCCACTAACTGGTGAATAAGCCTGGTTAGTAAGTCGCCGAAGTAGGATTATTGCATGTATAAGTGGGTTGTAACTAAGGTTACCTAGTTGGTGGTATACCTACCCCTCTGAAAAATATGAGTTCGTCAGTTGGGATTATTATTCCCAATAATGTCAACCCTGGATTAATAAACCCCTAGGTTGTTTAATTGGGGGGATACCATTTAAGTATCAGATTATTACTATTTGGGCAGTACCCCCTAATTAATAAACCATGGTTTAGTCTCATCCGGGGTTGACATTATATGGAAACATAAAGTTCATGTTCCAAACCACCAACCAGTCAGGGTTAATCCCCATGAACTCTCCATTTTCCTATGGTTTTCCTATGAAACCACCATTTTCCTATGGTTTTCCCATGGTTTTCCTATCAAAGAAATAAATTAAGTTACTGATCACTAAGTGGGACCATCCTCCACTTAGAAAAGTCATAGAGAAATGTGCAGTCCAGTGGCAGAAGCATCAGAGCGTTGCCCAACATGGCGCCTAAGAACCTCATCGAAAACCAAATCCACATTGGGAAACACAGAAAACACGATGGTGTTCCCCCAGCATTGCTAGTGATCATAATGGGATTATAATTGGATTACACTGGGTAAATTACAATGATTAACTAACCTGAAATAAGATGATTTTGGGATGATTCCCTATTCCAACCATCAGTGAGATCGCAATGAGGTCGTTATAAATGTTATAATTTACCCAAGAGCTACCATGCGTGTTGGTTCAATACCCCCCTAAAAGATTCAGACTGCCTATGGATTCTGATAGTCTTGAACATCTATCGGTTGAAAAAAAACCTATGTCAATCGACCAAGAGGGGGTTCGCAGACTGCTCATGTGGGTTGGTCTAAAATCGCAAATTCTTACCAGAAAAATGTGATGACCAGTGGATTCTGGGGCTTGGGCCTTGGCCAGTTATGTTCTTCCATAATATTGGGGCGCATGTGTCTGGTAAAGACGTGCGGATATCATCCCATTAGTGGTATATATTTACTGTCTCTGGGGGTAAATTCCGAAATTGAAATTTGCTGATCGGACAGGTGATGATTGAGCATTTGATATTAGGGCTTGGGCTCTCCTATTTTCCCCGGAGGTTGAAGATTGCTCTCTCTTGGGATTGCCGGATTGCCAATTGCTGGAACAATGTTCAAACCAAAACTTGGAATTGGAATAGCAAATGTCCAAGCCGAAACCTGGAATCGAAATAGTTTTCCTTTTTTGCAATGTTGAAGCCTTGAAAACTCACAGGAAACACCAAGTCGAGTGGCCTTGCGACCCCGGACCCCTCGGGTTGAAAATTTTGGGCGACCACTGGGCGAAGTGAATGGATTCCAGGCGTTGTTTGTTCTTGGTTTTGCCAAATTAGAGACTGGTTGGTGGTTTGAACCTACCCCTCTGAAAAATGATGGAGTGAAAGTCAGTTGGGATTATGACATTCCCAATATATATATATATATTTTTGCCAGGGCCTCCAGAGGTTTTTGCCCTACACATTCCCAATATATGGAAAATAAAACATGTTCCAAACCACCAACCAGGAGATCTTTTACCATCGATCAATCCCGGCGATGGATTGATACCTCCGTTTCAAGATCCTTTCCGAACGGGCTTTCGCCATGCATACAATCTGGAGGCTATCTATACTTACAATCTGCCCACCCCCCAGTTTTGAGTGTATAAACTAGTATAAACGCCTGATTTTTACCTATAGCTATAAAATGCTATAAGATGCTATAAGACGCTATAAGTACCATAAAGCATAGTTATTGCAGTTATAAACCAACTCAACTTAGCTATCTCAATCGCGGGCCACGGATTTCTACTGAGCTTGCCCCATCGACCGAGGCCAAAGGGCGTGATGCAAATGAACAAAAGGCGCAAGTTGAGCAACCTCGGTGACTTTTTATGGCCAAAACATCTGGGATGATTCACATATCATGGGGATATCATGGGGATATAATATTACGTGATTTCTTGGAAAAATCTCGGGATGCTTTCCATATTTCACCATTTTAGTTCTCCGGATGGATTGAAACATGTTCATGGCTATGTGAACTGGTCAGCCTATTGTCCCCTTTTATGATCAACACACACACACACATCAGGTACCACAAAAGCCATACAGGGCTTACCCGTATGGAAACATCTCCAGTTTTGGTGGAATTGCGGGGCGGCCTCCAGTCTGATCCAGTAAAAGTTGATAAATTTGGCAGTTCCACATGGTTTTTTCCGTCATGAAGTCCATCAGGTCAACGGTGAGCTTGTGACGCCCATGTCACGGTGAATGGTAAACATTGCGTATTGCCTCGCCTTGGTCCGATAGTTGCGCTCTTTCTCATTACTCATGACGGATTCATGGTGCTGGTATATATTCTAACATGACTGGGGTATATTGATGGTAAATGTTACCATGTATAGCAGCACCATGGATCCTACAAGGTGGTGCCCCCCAAACGTTATAAACCAATTTATAAACCCCATTAACTATAGATATATCACCTATAAACCATAGTTATTGGAGTTATAAACCAACTTAACGCTATCGAACGGGGGCACCACCTTGTATGGGTAGAGCTGCAAATAATCCACTGAAAGCCTCCCGAGGTAATCCCTCGCGGCTCGCGTCGCGGAGGTTTTCCGTAGAAAAGCGCAAGAGGAGAAGGCGTCGCGTCGCGGTTCAAAGAGAGCGAACAAGTCCGAATACCTGAGGTTACCCTCTGGTAAACATACAAAAAACTATGGATAATCACCATTTTTAATGGGTAAATCAACTATAAATGGCAATTTGCAATAGTTTTTTGTATGATTACCAGAGGTTACATGCTTTGTCGTGGATTTATGAGGACTTTGGGCCAACGGCCAACGAGTTGGAAGGTGAGAAATCTGGTGCCTTACGATCAGATGGGGGTTGCCTCTGGAACGCCAAAAAGGTGGAGGTCCAAAAAACGCACCACCCGGGATTCTGGTTTTAGAGGCGGGAACGGAGCCACTAAAAAACCCAAACAAGTGGCACCAAAAAGTGGTGTAGCAACCAGAAATTCCAGGAACTGATCCAGAATTCACCCTCAAATCTTCGCCTCTTAGGGGTGCAGTTCCAACTCCGTGGATACATTTCATCATACACGGTGGTGCCCCCCTAGTTATAAATTGGTTTATAAACCCCATTAACTATAGATATATCACCTATAAACCATAGTTATTGGAGTTATAAACCAACTTAACGCTATCGAACGGGGGCACCACCTTGTAGTGATAGGGGCCCCCTATCCCAACTTATGTGGGCTTGAATCCCATCATAACCCCTTCCATCATCTCCCTGGCTTCCTCCGGACCGAATAGCGAACCCGATGAAAAAAGACATGAAATCCCCATGACATTGCCAATCAGCCAGATACCCTGCAAACAATGACAAATTCTTTGCTGGTTGGTGGATAATCCCATTACCCTAACAATCCAGGGTATCTCCATAGGAGGGTTTAGGATCTCCATAGCAGGGTTTGGGTCTCAACCCCTCGTGACGAGGGTCCGGAGCCCTCAAAAAATGAAGCTGAGGGCCCGCGAGGTACCGATGGTATATCCATCCCTTCTGGCCAGGGGTTGGTCTGGGTTTATACAATCTGCCTGCAGCTGTATAGGTTGTGATGATGTTGCTGCAGCATACCCATAGAATACAACTTCAAGAATGCTTTTTCTCTGTTTGAAAACTATCCTATCTTGGGAATCCTAGGTTCTACTTTAACTGTTTGTGGATTTTCATACTATATGTTTCACTCCCACGCACTCCATCCCGGATGGACGGCTGATTTTGCGTTGCTTCTCGCTGCTGTGCCGTGAAATTTCTCACGATGCCTCGCGGCCGTTGCAAGCGAGGACTTTCCGGTGTGTGGAGAGGGGGGCAGGTGGAAGCAAAAACTAACAATTAGGTGATCACCGTTATATATTGTTTATTATAGGCTCAAGGTGATCCTGGGTTCTTGGAGTCTAAGCCATGGAACTCCATGCCCTGGAAAAACAGATTCACAGAAACTTGCCTGCTTTTCAGTTTACTTGGTGTAAAATCCATGGAAGATATCCTGTGCTTATGACAAACCACCTAAGGAGTGCTTCGGCTACATATTCCCATGGAAGCCTTCCTGACATGTTCGAAAACAAAGAGGCCTGACAATACCTTGTTTCCAGACATCGTAGCTGTCAGCATTGGCTACACTGACATGGTGAACTACATTGATTTGGTTTTGGGTTTGTTCGAGATCAGTCCTGAAGGCCACTTGGCTATTTGAATTTAAAAAACATAAATACCACGTTTTCGAAATATCAGATTCCCCTGTGCACAGGGATATACACTTGTCTATAGATACATTATTGTTTGGTCCTGGAAAACCCTAGGTGAGATCCCCGTCACCCACCTGACAAACGTGTTCGCACATCTCGATGCAGAAGGTAGCAACAACCTGTCACAAGCACGCTTTATAAAAGACAGGAAGCAATGGGCTTCAAATGACCTTTGGCCGCATCCCTGTTTATGTTGTTTTATCATCCAATAAGTACGTATGGTTTGCCCAGTCTTCTATGGCCCTCTACGGTTTTCTATATTTTGGCAATTTGCAGCGACCCAGGAAGGTTATATTGTCTCCATGCTGTTGAGCTATTCACGGAGGTATTGGCGTAAAGCTTTGAAAAGAAAGACCCATACTCCTATTGCCCGCCGGCTCATAGCGGTTCTGAAACCACATCCCCGCCGTGCCCGCCCAAGTTGCCGAAAAGGAAACCGTAAAGGCCAGGTTAGGGGGTGCATGCCATGGTGACTTATGTACACCATGCAAGTGAAAAATATACCAAAAATATTTCATATGGTCCAAAGGCAAACTGAATAGACCAAAATCTGACCTCTGGCAATGCAATATTATCAATAGTGGGGGGGACATAAATGTGTGCATCCACTGGCAAGGCGACCAAGCGGATCCTATCATGGTGTCTGATGGCGAGGTGCGGGGCATCTGGGTTGTAGTGAATGTTTGCCATATGTATCTTTTTCACAAACCTCCAAAGTATGAAATGGGTGGACACTGGCATGCTCGGATTCAAACATACAGATTCGATCACATAAAATGTGCCATACATTACATGTCCATGTGCTATATACCCTGCCATCTCCAGGAGCCCCAAGAGTCCCAGTGCATCGACATCGACGACGAAGAGGTGGACAGACCTGCCCTTCCTGATGCCGCAGAGTCTCTAGGCCCTGATGTCTTCGAGATAGGTGATGATGAGGATGATAGCCAAGGCGTTTTGCCCCCGAATGACAACCATGAGAAACCTTCCTTGAAGAACAACCTTCATGAAGCAACCCTGCGACCTGATAACCATGAAGTGGTTGAGGACATGTGGTTGGTATACCGTGCAGCTCTAGATGCATGCATGGAAGCCGGATTCTCACAGGATCAATCCATGCACGCCTTGAAAGACACTGACGGTGATTTGAATCAGGCCCTGACAAAGTTGTATGATACCCAGTTCAAGGCTGAGGAAAAATACCGTGAAGACTTGATTCGGCAGGCTTTGGACATAGAGATGGCCTCTTGCTCGGACAGCCAGGTTGACTTTAGCCAGTGGGCAACAGAAGAACTCAAGGCCATGATTGATGAGGCCGCTTCCAGGCCAACAATTGACTCGATGCAGACTGTTCCAATGGAAATTGATTTGGATGACCCTCCCCGCCAAGCTCATCCCCAGGGTGGGTTTGTTCTTGATGAGGACTTCTTGGCTGACGTTGCAGTTTCCCCCGGCGCCTTAGGTGCTGAGACCGTTAGCTTAGGTGATTCCCGACCTGAGGAGCCTCCTTCTGATGGACAGGATCAAGGTCATGACGAAGCTTGTGAGACAGTGGCTGACAGTGTGAGTGTGGGTTCCCCATCGCTTTGTTCCTCCCCAGAGCCGTGCAACAAAGACCCGCCCTTGCATGAAGATGACACAAAGACACCAGAGCAAGAATCTACTCAGGAGGGGTGACAATTATTTCCATGCACCATGCATGCATCTTTTGTGCTACTCATGTACTATTGCATGCCATGCATATTTTTATGGTATATCTCATCGGCTATCTTATATTTTCATATCTATAAATGCACATTGCATGTGCACATGTGCTGCCAATTCACCCCGTTCGGAGGAGACCAACAATTTCTCAACCATTTGTGTCCGTGGCAAGACCAAGCCTGGAACTGCAGGGCAGCTTCTGCAGGCAAAGGCCAAGGTGAAAGCTGCGGCGCCAGTGTCCTGCATGCAAGCATTTTAGGCCCGAACAAAGCACTAGTTCCATCCTGTAAATCTATCTTTTTTGTAATCCATCGCGCCCCTTCATCCATAAGAGTCTCTATATTTTCAAAAAAAGGGCGACATCACATCCTCTTAAGGTGGCGAAGCCTGGTGAAATTTACCCTGATCTTCCACCATTTCTCCATGAGATGAATGGCGAGCTTGCGGAGATTGAACCGCCTGTTTATGCTGAGCAGGGCCAGCAGCGGGGGAGGAAACCCAAGAAGTCAAGCAAGAAGTCAAAGAAGGGTGCCAGAAAGGGGAAGGGAAAACCCAAAAGGGGAACCAAGGACAATAAAAAGGCACGTACCAAGGGAACTGGTAAGAAACTCCAGAAAATTGCCAAGGCAGCCAAGAAAGCCAGGAAAGCCGAGGCAGCCACTGAATCCCCGGGAGAGAAGGTGGAAAACAACGGTGTTGAGCCCATCGAGGATGGTGCAGGGGGTGAGTGTGCTCCCAGTGGCTCTTCCGGTTCCCGTTCAAAACGTCGCCGCGACCCCTCGAATTCCCCACATGACGATGTTGAGTTCACAATTCCAGAGGATTGTGTGGCACCCCCGGAGGGAATCAAATCCAATTTGGTTTACTCAAAGGCATACGTCATCAAAAAGAACCTTGGGGGAGATACTGATGAATGCCGATTGGCTGGACGACATGCGTCATGGCTCTTGCGAGAGAAAAATTTGGTTTCACCATCGCTGTCTGGGCCTCCCATCTACACGCCCAAGCCCCGAAAAGCTAAGGATGCTAAGGAACATGAAAGTGAGGATCTTGACACCAGTGAGGTTTCTGTCAAGCCTCGCAAGACATCCAAGAAGAAGAAGCTCTCCATTGACGGGGACAAGAAGGGCGACACCATCGAGATCGACGGGGAGGGTGGCAACTCTGGCGGCATGGCCGTTGAATCGTGAGTTCAGTCTTGAGCTTGGGGCATATATATTTTGGGGGACTGGGCTCTAATGTGAGCCTACAGCTGCTTCACAACGAGAGCTAAAGTTTGATAAATATCATAATATATATATATAATTCAAATTATAATCACAATTTTTTGTGTGGGCTCTTCGTTGACATGTGGTACAATTTGCAACCACGCAGCGGCTCATTAGCTGCTCTTTAGGTTTCAGTGTGGGCGGAACGATTTACCCACATGTTCAAAATTTGGATTTCAACAAGTGATCGCAAAGATGGCCAAAAAAACATAAACTGTTGCATGTTGCCATGATACATGCTTTAAAACACATAATTGTTTGGTGTCGGTCAAGCGGAAAAATTGCAGCATGCTTGAAAAGCACTTTGCTCTTGCTCATCCAAGTTCAAATGATCTGATCCCCACTATGGAAAGATTTTGGTTCAGGGTGCTGCAGGGTTTACCACCAGACCTCTAGCTTGTGCCGCCTGTACTTTATCTTTCGAGATGCCCAGAAAGGTTTCTTGGATGCATACCCCATTGACCCTGTGTCCTCATGGAACCAGTTGATGCACAAAGGCTTCCAGGAATCATGTCCTCACGCCGCCGGATGGGCGCAGCTACTTGAGGTTGTGTCCAAAAGTGCCAAACGTCGTGCCAAGCGTGACACCAAGCAGAAGAAGGATGAGGAACTGTTACTTGCTATATATAGATGTGCATGTTTAAGCTTTGACATGGTCTAAAGAATAAGTACCACAAATTGCTTTGTTGGTATAGTCCCGCTTTAATTTTATAAAAGGAAAACATTAATATTTATATATGTACATAGAGCATGTGTTTGAACTTTTAGATGGTCTATTAAAGATTGCTTTCTTGTTAGTTCTATAGCATATGAAATTATTTGTAGAAAAACCAACTATATAGATGAAGATGTGCATGTTTAAACTTTTAAATAGCCCAATGATAGGTTGTTGATATTCAAGCTTGTTCAGCCAATGCTTGCAATTTACAGGAACTCTGGATGCATAAGCAAATCTTGGGGCTTGGAAAATACAAAAGTAGCATCATCCCCATTGAGACCCCTCAGGCCCATGAACTTTGAATTTGAAACAACCCATGCCGACATATATCTCTAAAATGCGGCGTCTTGGGATAGTGAGGCTGGTGCGAAAGTCGAAGCAGGGAAGGTCCAATGTGATCATCCCACTTCGGAAGCCCCCTGGCCAGTACCACCCCGGCTTTTGCCAATCCGGCTCCTTCTGATTATGAATCTCATGGAAGCAGTGCCTTGTCGGGTGTCGGCAAGTGGTTTGCAAGTGGCTGGAGGGTGTGAACATTCATGCCTAGGGGCAACATTGTTATTTTCCTATTGACTTGCCATTGCCTTGCCCCCAAAAAAAACAAAAACACCCAAAAAGGAACCCCCACCCCCCCCCCGGGGGGGGGGGGTTCCTTTTTGGCACTTTTCCTTTGGGGAGGGATTCTTTAGGCAACCGGTTCAAGATTCTCAGGAAATTCCATGTTATATCTAAGGCTTTCGTGCCACCTGAACCGTATGATTGCGTCGACCTCTTCAGTGGCAAGAGGGCAATTAGCAAGGCTTACATTGCCCAGGGCAAGCGTGCTTGCTCATTGGATTTCGCCCACGATGAAAAGGATGTCACTTGTTGTTAATAAGGATCCACCTCTTTCCCCCATGATGTGAAAGTTGACAGCACGCAGCGTAGATCCCAGTCTGACCAGCCCATCTCTCATGTGAATAAACTTCTTATGTGGCTAAGGACATACTAAGCCCAGGAGGTTTCTTGAGATTCCTTTGGGCCGTGATGAATGTCATCCCCAATGGGCTGATAGCAGCTGGAGTGAAATGCAGTACATGGAGCATCGTCAACAGTAAGCTGGCTTATCTTAGTGGCCGGCATTGTGTATTGCAACATCCCCAAATTTGGCCCTTTCATACGTTTATAAATGGTAATCAATGGTTATACATGGGGTTGTAATCCATAAATGGTGCTACAATTGGTATTTAAAACTAAGGGCATGTGGGATAGTATATTTGGTTTTGAACGGGTAACATGTTGATTCTTTAGTGGTTTTGCCACATTTCACTCAGGAGGTACAAGCCGAAGATCAGAACAACGGCCGCTTGGACACCGGCTGCTTGGTTAAGAACCTGTTGGCTAGCTCTATCCTATCCATTGAACATATTTATATATTGTGACCCTGAGGCTTTACAAGAGTGTGAGGGATGGCAATTTGATGGTGGCTCGGGCGTGATCCTCAATTTTAAGCTTGCATGGTGCATAATGCCATGATGCAGAATTTATTGAAAAGAATCAAACTTTTGTCATGAGGTGGCTTTGTTAGTCTTGGCATGCCTCCATCGAAGAGCTCATTACCTACTTGAAAATCCAACTCAGTCACTGGTTCGGGACCCAAACCAAAGAAATGTGCCCATGTTGCGCATCTGAGCAGGTGAATCCTAATTTGTGTGAATGATGTGAACCCTTTGTGTTTCTAATCCTTGCCTTCCACACTGGTCCCACCAGATCTTCTGTCATCCTCGCCTTCGCAAAGTCTTGGATCTCCGCGGCCACCACAGCGTGAACACCCACCTGGGGCCGTACGGTGCGGCTACATGGAAGCCAGTTAAGCTGGTATCTGATGACCCTTGTGTGGAGAAACTTTGGAGGACCCAAAACGGTTGTTTATTGAGTAGATCTTAGATGTGGATGGTTGTCCAGGCTGAAACCTATTTGTGGTATCATCACCTGCCATTTGCGTGCAGGAAATTGGACAAATCCAAATTTGAGAAGAGTACCAGCACTCGCCAATACCAGAATGCAGACGGGGAGGTCAAGTTCCAAGGAACTCCCAACTTGGTGGATACACAAGTGTATCCTCCAAAGTTTGGAAGAAAGGTAACTTTGATGAAACCATATGTATGTTCAGTGTTTGGAGATCAAACGCGTTACCATCACACAATCAACATGATCGTTTAAACGGTTCTTTTTTATGCACATGAGATTAGTTCCCAAATCCACCATGCAGGCTGTCTGTGTGGCCTCATGAGGTATGCAAGGTGTTCACGAACTACGCATCGTCTCCATCCTGGCCCCAGCATGTTGACCACACCCCCGACAGCTGGAATGACGCAAAGATTCTAGCTTGCAAGAGGTTTGTCCGGGTGGGGACACAAATCTTTTGGAAAGGGTTGTCAACACACAGGGACTTAAATGTATATGATTGCCATCATATGAAACACCCACGATCATACCATTTTTGAATAGGTAAGAAGTGCACATGTATTTTGGTCCCCCAGTAATCTATGAAAGTTGCCCCTGCACTATAAGGCTGGACGAGGTGGAGTCCTTCCTGACTGATCATCTGAACCGGCGCAGCAGGGAAGGTTTCTAAACCGGCCCTAGAATCTATTGGTGCTGTGAACATGCAGTGATACACCACCACGGCACACATTTAATTAATTGGCAAGGGGGTGACATGTTAAAACTCCTATACATGCGACCATTTCGTTTGAAAGTAACCCCCTTTGCAACGCCTAGTGCGTGAGTTGCAACTTTAGACCCACAGTGCCACGACAAAGCTGGCTGTGCATGGATTTGATTTGGGGGTAGGTTCCCACAAGTATTTGGCCATTGTATTCGCAGGTTTTTAGCTATACAACTTCAAAAGCAATATTATGGATTCCCAGTGATAGCAATCCAATCTTGGGTCGAACAAACAAGAATTGGGGGGTTTGGTTCCATGAGCCTGTGACCACAAGAGGGATGGGTTTAAACTATTTCTGCTTTTCACTCCGGGTTGCTTTTGGATTTTTTGGGGTGCCATTTATATGCCACAAGGGACTGGTACCCCAAAGACTAAGTTGCACTACTTTGGACGCTTTTGTGAAGACCCTGGCCAAAAAAAGGATCACTAGTTTAGCCTATAGATCAGCATTTTTCCCATAGCCGTTCAATACCCAAAAGACTACGCCTAGACTACTTTGAACCAATTTTTGGATGCCTTAAGGGAGACCCGTACCAAGATAGGATTGGGATCACAATACAGCTTTAGTCTAAATGGAGAAACTTTTGTAAATTTGGAAATGCCAGATGTTCCAAACAGAACGCAATATATATAGATATCTTGAATCAGTTTCCGATGTCTTTCCGATGCCTTTCCGATGCCTTTCCGATATTTTCCCATATTATATATATGATATGGATCCTGCATATCTATATATATAATGTCATCAAGTAGGCATCGGAAAGGCATCGGAAAGGCATCGGGAAGTTTCTGATGGGTACCTCAAACAATGGGAGTTTGAGGGGCCCCGACGTACCCCACATCGGAAACACATCGGAAGAAAATTGCCAAATCAGCGCCATCAACAAGCCTCACTCCAAATCATAAGCAGCTTTTGGGTTTGTTGATTAAATCTGCACTATTGGTTCATCAATTTGCAGGGCTTTCATAAAATACCTTGCTCATCCATGAAGCCATTTGGGGTTCCCGGCGCTGCAAGCTCAACCAGCTGTTGGGCATGGCAAGGTACCCAGAATCCACCTGCACATGCCAGCACTAGCTGATGGGTTCTCAGGGTTGTTGGGTGATGTTGGGTATGAGATGTATTATATAATGGATTCCCCAACAAGGGTTACTGATTTCCTGGTGAGGCGTACAACAATATCTACGCCACACCGCCGCCAAAGACTCGGCTAGCTTCACCTGGTTCCTTTGAGAGTGGTGCGACCACAGAAGATTATACCAGTGAATCCCAGGACAGAATTTACAGATATAGAGCAGGCATACAGATATGTCTCAATATTACCTTTTTTGGTTCCAAAAAATGAATGGTACTTTAAACCCCTTAACTTTAGTTCAATGTACTTTTCTGCAATCGGAAAAGGCCACCTCCACATTTATATACAGCCAGTTGGTTCCGGTGGTGCCCAAAAATGCTCTTGAAATAGATTGACCTATCTGGCTACTTTTGGCCCCATGCAGGAATCAGTTGCCGCGCCTGAAGCATGGCCACAATCTCTTGGTTTGGAGCGGCGACCTGATTCACAGGTTGCTTTGAATGAGTGCTCATCCCAGCACTGAAGAGCCCGGGCGGTGGTCTGAAATTTGACGACGGTATCCCACAAATATATATATATATATACGTAGCGATTGAAATTTGAGACCACCGTTATTTATATGCATTTTGTAATGTGTGATTCCTTGCTTCCATTTATATAGATTATAGTTCTCTATAATTGGGTATGCCCAGGGACATGTGAAACGGTATACAAATATAAATGGAAGCACGCGAGACTTATTGTATGTTTGTATGTGCGCGCATGTTGCAGGTCAATTTCACCAGCAGTCTTCTCAAGCCAAACAAGCCAAGATACCATTCCAGGTACCCCATCACAATTGCCAGCCCCAACAGCCACAGTGCCAGCACCCCGTGACACGCCACACAAATCCCAACCTTCAATCAAGCGACAGCTTCACCTAGACGAAGGCGACAACAAGAAGGCAAAGAGCCCAGCAACTCACACAGCAACAAAATCTGGCCCCAACGTCCCTGTGAAACGAGAGTTAGAACATGGTGTAATTTCCCAGCCAGCTAGCAAGGCAAACACTGGCACGGCAGCACCCTCTATGCCCCCACCTCGCTTGATGATCAAGGCCAAGCAGCTTCCACCACCTGGTCCGCCTCCCTCTGAGACTCCGAAGCAACCCATGCCCAGCATTCCCAAGCCCAGCGCAGCCAGACCAACGGTCAAGACAGAAGATCCAACACCACCATCAACAGAACCTGCCCCAACCACAACGGAGGACATCTTTGGAGATGACTCAGAAGGCAAGCCCGCATCAAACTTGCAAGCTGATGCAGCAAGCAACAGCACACCCCAGGAATCCACAAGCAATGACGGGAAACACACCGCAGCACCCACGCCCAAAGCAGAACCGGCTGTGGCGAAGCCAGCAGCACCTGCAATCCCATTGGGGATTACCCACAGTCCACCGGAGCTGCCGCCTACCCCCACTGCACCAAAGCTACCGCCCGCTGCACCAAAGTTACAATCTCCGCCAGCCAAAGCAACAATGCCATCCCCACCGAAACCAGCACCACCGAAACCAGCCCCATCAACCCACCTTGCCCTGATCAAGTCCGAGCAACACAAAGATGAGCAGGCAGCAAATCCCAAGAGCCAAGCAAATGCAGGTGGTGCCAAAGCAGTTCCCGCAGTTCCCGCAATCGAAGATGCCCCGCCGGCGCTGCCAAAAAGACCATCCGCAATCCGCGCATCCCCTCCAGCTGCAAAGCCCAAGCCACCACAGCCAGGCACTGCACAGACAACACCACAACAGCCAGACTCGACACAAGGTACACCCACACCAAAGCAAAGCAGCCCGACAGCGTCAGCAATTGCAAACAAAGTGACTGTGGCAGAAGGTGCTCAGGCTGGTACATACGCTGGTCAACACACTGTGCGGGCCAACTTTTTTGATGTGTTCTTTAGCCGCAACTTTCTAGCAGGCTGTCATCCCTGAAGACTATAATGAACGACAAGCACTTCAAGGTACATTCAAGAGGCCAGCCTTTGATTTGTTCACTTATTCCAAGTGAGCACGCATCGCGCTTCAGGTTGTTTCACGCTACATGTGAGTTACACAGCTGTATAGGTACAAGTGGCGACAGCCAGCTAGAAGTATGGTTTGTACCCATCATCATATTTATATACATGTTTAATATGTGTACGTACATATATGTTTTTTTAAATATAGATGTATATGTATGCATGCTATATATGATATATATAATGTTTTTCCTATATGTATAATCAAACATGGCATGGTCCCCTTATAAATGAAATATCATTGTACAATATGTATTTCAAAAAAATAATGCCATGCATGTTTGATTACCGGATGTCATGCATTTTATTTACTTGAGGGTTAAAGGTTCAATTTGACATATCCACAAACCATATCCCCAACAAAATGTTTGGGTGTCCTACAGGAGAATGAAGGACCCTGAAGCGTGGGCGATCCCTGATGACTTTGTGGCCCTGTGGAAAGACGCTTGCGAGAACAAGACGAAGGCAAGGTAATGTGGGGTTAATCCCATCCTTGTATCAACCACATCCTTGTTCATCTCTTCTTTTTGCGGTTTTGAAAGTGATCCCTCTTTTTTGTTAGCTAGCTAGTTAATTGGCTCGATTCCCCACGGCCAGACCGCAAAGACAGCCCTCTTCGAAAAGTGGTTGAGTGCTGGAAAAGATTTCAGCTTGTCTTTTGGTTGCATGCAGTGGCCAACAAAAAGAACACGCATTATATAGGACGATTTTGACAACCCCTGATTTTAAAGGCCAAGTCCCAACCGAAGTTGAATTAGTCCAGATATTTTGCAATTTTAGCCATGTAATTTAATTATAATTAATTATAATTATCCATGTGGATGTCTTGATCCAAACCTTGTTCCCCAAGGCTGCACATCGAATGTTCTCGGAGCCACACTGACCGCAACACAGCGCAGAAGAAGATGGGCTGCTTGGCCTGTAGCGGTGGGCTGGGGCTTGCTGTGCCGGCCTAACGCCAACCCCAACCCCAACATGGCACATATGGGGATGTCTCAAAATGAGGTGCCCTTTTCCCCCCTTAATTACAATTAAAATTTTAAACCATGAAAAGGGCACCTCATTTTGAGACATACCCATGTCAAGATACCTAAGGCTGGCTAACGCGCCAGCAAATCATCAACTTACATGGTGGAGACATCGCTGTGGCCGACAGCATCATCCGGAAGAAGGAGGCAGATGGGGCTACCCAATTTCATCCAGATGACCCGGATTTGAAAACATACTATGCTGCTCGGTTTTGTACATGGGAAAATTGGCATATTCAAAAGATAGTTCCATGGTCCCTTTTGTCCGCCCAAGGTATGCACAACTTTGGCCCGGAAAGAGGAAGAGGAGGTTAGTGATACCATCAAAATCAAAACCAAGTTGGCCATCACTGCTGGTGGTGAGGCTTGACATCAGGGTCATGCACTTGGCAACGGCATATCTTTCCACGTAATATACACATGTGATATAGATATAGAGTATAAACCCTTTCCCATTGTATTACCTGTATGGGCCTCAAAGTGAGAACATCCAATGTTTAACGGTTTCTATAGGGGGTTCTATATTAGGGGGTTCTATATTATAGGACTATCACAATGTATACATGGGGTCCTCTTCCAGACATGCCCGCAGGGCTCCTCAAAGTTGATGCAAGGGATCC